GCCTGAAACTTCGCACTCTTGACTGAAATGAGATAAGCTATCTCGTTGTGCTAGCTTTTCAGATCGTGATGCTGTGATAATCTTAGTTTCTGAAGCCCATGCGATGAACCCTTCGTCGGAAGTCGCCATCCCATAAGAACCAGTCATTTAAAGTGGATTGTCCTAGTGTTGCACAGTCTTGGCCTTCTTGGAAACAGCTGGGACTGAGCTGAGGTAATGGGGAAGGCGCTCTGGAGGCCGCCCTGTGCTTGACTCAACTTGCGTGAATGCACTTCCCGTTCAGTTGGCCCAGTAACATGCTCTCAGAGTCTCAGTCCCTCACTCTGGAAGGGCTGTAAAGGGAGCAAGCTCTACGCTGTCCGCACGGAAAGGTAAAGCGTCAACTCCGCCGCAACGAGGCGTCAGCGTGCAGGGAAGAAGAACAATGCGCATGGCATCCTTGCGTTCTCCGAGCTACTGTGATGTTTGTTGGTTTTCCCGCCTGCTTGTAGGAGGTTCTGTGTTCAAGTCCCTTGCAACGATTGCCACGATTTTCTGTGGAACATCTACTGCCCATATCACACAAACTGCTTAGAGTCTCCATTCCTTGACCAGGAGGGCGCGGAACTGTGGACCAAGACCATGCATGCAGGCAGGGATGAGAGCCGGATTTCTTTCATTTGTTCCTTTTTTATGGCTTTGCGTCTCGAGCACGCTGCTGAAATTTGAGAGAGGCTGCACCACTCCCTCCTTGCGGGGCCATGGGTTGGAGGTGGCTGCCACTGCCAGAGAGTCGCTCAATCGAATTTCAGTCATTTTGGGCCTTCAGAGTTCCAGCTAATGCTACTGTGATGCGTCCCCAAATTGTGGCATGTGGGCTGAGACTCCCGATCATGAGTAAACTGGCTTGTTTTACTGCGAGTCAGTGGCATGTGACAATGCTGCTTTTTGCATCTTGATTTGTTCTGAAGCTTTGATAAGTCTTGGTACTTCAAGATGGAGTACCTCAGAGTCCATGGTGTGCTCTGCAGGCTGAAGTTAGCGCCTGAGGCGCTTCTTGCAAGCATTGCTGGTCGTTTTGGATCCAGCTTTGAATCACGGATATTTCCTCTTCGGACATGTTGAAATTGTTGATGTTTGTTCTTTGTTGTGCAGGATCTGACCAGGATGCTGGGGGCGGATTTGCTGCCCCCAATTCGTGTCCGGTGCCGGAAGAGTCGCAGGATGACAGATTTTGGTGAGGAGGTGCAGAGGGATGCACACTTTGCACCCTCCCGATCGCCTTTGCAGAGAAATGGCTTTCAGGTTGATTGCATCTTCATTGCTGAGACAGATTCGCCTCTTAGTTGGCAAGTGCTGCCGCAAGTGACGATCGAAGATGCGCGAGAATACCCACAAGACCGCAAGACAGACTTCTTAAGGTATGCGAAGCCTCGTAAGGTCGTCTCAATGACTGAGGTCCACGGAGTCCAGGGTGCTTGCAGAAAGATATAGCAGCGTGTCCGTGGAGTCCTGGCACCTTGAGGACTGAACCACATTGTCAACATGCTGCAACGCAAGGTAGGGAGTCTATCTGCTGCTTCTTGTTGCAGTACGCAAGGTGGTCTTCTAAAGCTTACCATAGTCCAGTTGCAACATCTTTAGGAGCTTGGCCCAGTTATGCAGAAGCTGGGACAGTTGCCCGTCGCTAGGCCGCAGATGGCGGGGCAGATTTCGTCTAGCTGGCTTGGGCCTTCCTGATAGAAATTGCAGCAAAAGTTTTAAGTTGGAAATGTTCTTCCAAGGAAGGAGCCATTGTTGCGGGCTATCCTGCTATGGTTCAGGACGGCAGAGCTCTCATGGAATCGCAGACTTTACAAGGGATTTGGCGAGTAGACCTGGACCGGGGCAGGGCCTGCGGAAGTGACCGGGGCACCCTTGATGCAGGCTGTTGCAGACCGAGCGCGAGCTTCCTTGAACGACCAGAGCCAAGATGTGAAACGTCCACCGCTGCCCACAACTTGACACTTGCCGAGGGCAAAAAAAGGAAGCAACATGCACTGCTTTGCCCATGAAAGTGCATGTTGAACATGTTGAACGGTCAAGCCATGTTTGCCTGCACATGTCGGCTAGCACAGTCAGGCCTACATGACATTGGTTCGGGGACCGCGCTATACACCACCCTCGGGCAGTTTACTTGGCCGAGTGGGCAACCTAAAGCCTCTGGTTCTGCGTTGGGTGCTGGCAAAATCTAGCAGACTTGATGCTTGACAAGGTCTTTCTAGTGACCGGCCACATCCTTAGCAGCTCGCTCTTTGCTATCCTTGACATCTTGACCCTTTGCATTTAGCTAGTGAACGGCTCTGAATCTCATTGGCCGCAGGGGCAAACAGCGGCCTGGGCTATGAAGCCAGTGTTGCGCAAGACTTGGTCACGAAGTGTGGACTCCGCAGAAGCACTTGCTAAAAGACATTGCAGTTGAGGCGGTGCTCCGCGCAGGAGCATCTGTCATATTCGCCTGCCGCAATGAAAAGAAGGCAAGCCACAACGTTTGCTCGTCTTGTTTCCATGCGGCAACCATCCGGCAACGATTTGCCCACTATTGGAATGGCAAGGCTGCAGCAGCCATGAAGGCGGCGGAAGCCGCTGCAGGCGCAACAAGTGGTGAGCAACGCTTCCTGCCGGTGCCCTAGGATTTGCACAAGATGCGTGTTGATAACAGGTTCTGTTTTCAGGGGCTGGATCACGTTGGACTGGATAGCGCGCAAACAGGCATCCAGAAGCAATTCGTTGATGATGGTCAACTTGCATGCAGGTTGGCGAGCCTGGACATTCGCAATATGTCAGATGAATCCAAAACTTCTCGCAGCACGTTTACCAAGCTTGTCTACTAGCCTCAGATTTTCAAAACAAAGCTTCTAGCCCCCGCACGTGTTCGCAGTGGAAGGACCAGAAGGGAACTTTCGCATGCTGTTGAAAAGAACATTCAGTGCAGAGAAGTGGTCAAAGTTGTACCAAGCCCAAACTCACATCTAAACTTGGCGTTGCAGGCTGAAGCCCCGGCTGCTGCACCAGGTAACTCCACCACCCAACCACCAGTACAACCGAGATCCCCCCACTCATATCCAAACCTGTGCCTTCCCTCCGGAAGCAGCTGTAGCATGGACTGTGGATGCTGTGCACTGCCGCTGCTGCTGCGATGGCACCCGGAGTTGGCAGCTAGCTCAGCACAGTGCTTTTAGGGCTGCGGAGTTAAAAACTAAAGCTTGCAGTCTGCGCTGTGTCACGTGGCACTTTTCTGGTGCGACTAGGTGTCCTGAACATGCGCAGGATGCACAGACAACTCCAAGCCTCATGCTGCAAGTGACTATTCGCAAAGCTCCAGCTTGCCTCAGGTCACTCCGGTGACCCTGCTGCATCCGCGCAAGGTCATCTCAATGCTGCTAAGGCAGGTCTCAGACGCGACATGGCGCTGGCGGGTCATCCTGTTTCCTCCACCTACCAGGTGCGATGTGCAAACTCTGCGCCGTTTCTGCGACAAGGTGCATTGGCACCGAATTGGAACGTTTCATCAGTCAAGGATTTGTTTGCTTGGCGTTTGTCACCGGCAGCCCTGGCTGCTTGTATTTGACATTATAGATCTCTTCTCCTGCTCACGGTATGGCAAGTAGCTTCTGCGAGGTGCCCTCAAAGACAATGAGAGGCATGCTTCCGGCCCTGTATGGCGAGGCTGGCAGACAAAACACCCAACACAACGGAAGAATAAACTGCTTCTTGGAATTATCTAGAAATGGGAGAGGCACAGGTCTCACGGGAAACTAGGGTCACAGATGTAATGGGATAAGTAACTTTATTTCCGATGTGCTTGGCTGCACCCATACATCACTTTGAAGCCTTGTGCTGGACAGCCATCGTAGTCTGCTTTATATACTGGCCTTGCTGTCGTTGGCAGGTGAGTGATCGTCAATTTATCGATGCAGCTAGGGCCGCAATAGAGAGCGCCGCCAGCCATGAACTGCTGGCTGCAGGTCCCTAGAGCCCGTGCCAATGCCCAGATTCATTGCGTGCTTTCAGGTGGTAGTCCCACTGCTTTCCCGTTCTGAACAAGCAGAAGCTCTGGCCAAGATAGTTTGCTCACTGGACACCCGTGCGGCACTCAGTTACGTGTTGCCACTCGCAGCGCATCTCGTATTTGAAGGGTCCAGGTTTGAATCATCCTGCAAAATCTCCTGTTTGACGTGAGCTACGCTGGGCTGTCTTTACAGTCAAGGTTTGCTCAGGGTCTAGTCTTATCTATGTAGCTATATTTGCGCTCTTAAGTTCAGAGTTGCACAAGCTAATCCGTCAATGGCGAGATCGGGGGAGACAGATGCCCGGCACTGCGGTGCTCAGAGCAAATGTCTGTTTGTGGCAGGTGCCATGCTGGAAGTCTTGCAAGGGGCTGCGCCAGGGCGACTGCCGATCGCGGCTCGGACCCAGCCCAGGGTGTGCTGTAAGCGAAAAACCTCAAACTTCTTGCATCTCTTATCCAAAAACCGTCGCAAGTCCAACACTTTGACATGCCACCAGGTTCTGCAAGCACCGCCAGAGGCAGATCGTGTGGCTATACACGATGTGAATACCAGAATGCTCTTGTTTCAAGTCTTCACATTATAATCTCATGGCGGAAATTAGGAAATTAGCGAGGTGAGAAGGATTTCCAGCCCAGTATTGCCTTGAGGCCTTTTGATACGTAAAAGGTACTGTGCCAGCCTTGTAACATGTGTCCTGCAAGTGTATCATCGAGAGTGAGGCTGGGTCTCACATCCTAGTGCAGGCCCTAGCGACGATCATCGCAAACGTCGGCCCTGGCCGGATTAGTGCCGTGGTGGTGCCTCTGCTCCAGGAGCCGGTTGCAGGGTTCCCGATAACAGATGTTCTCCTAGCATCCTGACTAGAGTGACTAGAGACGCGGCCAGCCTTCCCTTGGCCCCCCGCTGCACAACTTTACCTTCAGTGACAGAGGACTGCTTGAGTCAAGGTTCTGCTGTCTTGCGAGCCAGGAGTCCGAAGAAATTCTACGCGACAGACTAGTTCCCCTCCTGAGAGCCTTGCTCGTGCACAACAGCTCAGCTGCCAGCTGCCGCAGAGAAGCTCATGACATGCTTTGCTTGCATTGTGCAGCATCTTGTAACCTAGAATAAGCCACTAGATTTGAGACGTGCGCATGCACCTCAGATACTGAATGTGCATTCATTTGCAGAGCCTGCATGTTTAGGAATGGTGGACAAGCCCGAGCAGATGGCCAAGATTGTGGATCAGGCATGTCAAATTCAGGAATGCAGGATACAATTAGCATTGCAAGGAGCGTGTCATGTCTAATGTCTGAGCATAGGCGGATGCTTGCGTGCTCATCACGCTGCTTCGCGGCGTCAGGGCTGAAGCCCTGGCAAAAGTGGTGAACGGCTTCTGCGAGGTGCAATGGGGATGGATGGAAAAGGAGTGGGCTTCGGGAGGGGGGGATTTCTGTTTCTGTGCAGGAGGACTTCAAAGAGCAGGGCCAGGTGATTCGGCTCCTGCAGGCTCTCAACAACGACCCAGGCCGCCGAGGGATTGGTCGTCAGACACTCTGTCAGCGTGCTTTTTTGGTTTCTGTGCCCTGTCAAGATCTGGCCAAAGACAAGATCGTCCCACTAATGGACAAAGGAGAGCCTGGCAAGATCGTTCGAAGCTTTCCTGCAGCATCAAGTGCACCCGCGCTGGTTGTTGCTGCTATGACATAGCCCAGGATTGGTTCAAGGCATCTCAGAACCTAGGCCGCACAACTTCAGCGTAGAGATGAAACACTTGAATCAAAGAGAAGGCTGTGACAAGTTCAATTTCTTTGCACGGCGCGTGCAAGTCCTTTTAGGCCGAGAAGCTACTGGCGGTGCTGGGTTCCACGGAGGCATTGTGCAAGGGGTGACCGAGTGACCGACCCCACCCTGGCAACAATCTTGGCAGCAATTCTGAGATCATTGGTCACAGGCTTAAACCATGCCAATACCTTGCCCAACCCCGAGTTGGCAAACGTTTTCGCCTGCCCTGGCACAAAAAAAACAGAACTATACCCCGTGCCTGAGGCAAGCCACAAAGAGCACACCATCAGAATGCTTGCTGTCACTTAATGCATGTTGGCTCAGAATAGGCAGATGGCGTTCTGCGCCTCTTGGAGATGCTCAGCTGCTTCTCATGTGCATTGCTACGTCGCATGCAAAGAAATGCTGGGTTCGGCTAGTTTGGTCTGCAATCGACACCCACATATCGTTGAAATACGGATGCTCTGACGACGGCATCTCTGAGGAACACGAATGCAGACTTTGCCGTGCGACTTTTCCAGCTGCCTGTGGACTCTGCCACTTGGTTTGGATCGGCCAGGGCGGGGGAGCATGTTGTGGGGCGCGTGGCAGGCTGGCTGCAAACCTGAGCCTTGCTGTTCACCACTCTTTTGGCGTGGGGTAGATACGAAACATTAAAGCCCTTCAGCGTGTCCCGCCCGCGTTTCGCCCATCCCCGCCTGTCGACCTCCACGTATCCCGCCCAAGTGTCCCGCATTCCCTATCTTATTTTTTTTTATGCTCGACGCAAATGCTTTTGACCTTTCATAAGGTGATTGCTTCCATGGCCGGTGGCTTTGCGGACGTTATGGCAGATCAGAAAATTGCAGACCTGGTCAAGCACAGCACTGACACGCTGCAGGCAAAGGATACTAGTGAGAATGCGTGATTGCTCGAAGAAGTCTTTGATTGGACCCTGCGCCCCTTCCTGGAGGCTGGCCTGGCGCAGGCGGATGGGGTCCTCGCTCGGGGCATGCAGGTGGAAGCTTCACGTTCTTCACATCTGTCAGGTTCCGCGGCAAGCTCTGTTCTACCTGCCAGGCCCGTGGAGCAGACCCGAACACGGGCTACAAGTTCGGTGACCTTACACGAGGCTCGCATGTGCTTTGTCCGTCCATACATTTGCCTGTGCGGGCTGCTAGCTACCTGCGATGAGGCCTGTTGTCGATGGGCCAGGAGAGCCTTGAAAAAGGCAAAGAGCTTGTGGAGCTGCACAGCAAGCCGCTCCAGGAAGGCCATAGCCGAGCTTTGCAAAATTTCAAACTGGATTTCCTGCTTGGGGGCTGGGTGTGGATAAGGTAGAATCTAGTTTTCTGATCTTTCAGAGGGAGTTCCTGGGAGATGCGAATGGTGCTTGGGACTGTGTGATGGCAGTGAGTTGCTTGGCTGTTCCGCGGACATTGTGGGAGTACCGGCTTATTGCAGGTTCACGAAGGTTGGCTTTAGGAAGCTTCTGGCCTTGAATGCAAGCGCCTGATCAAGAGTAAAAGCACATCTGCCGAGCCCAACAGCCACCTCGCCTCAGGATCAGAAATACCACAGTGCCTCTAAGTTTTAATGAGACATACCACAATTCTTCAATTTCTTGATAAGAAATGCCAGTAGGCTCGTCCGAATAAAAGCAAAGAACACGTATTTCTGCAATTTCAGGCTGGAACCGCCGCCCCCATTACACTATTACTCTCCACAGTTGGCGTCATCGCTTTCGCAACTGGCATCATTGCTGCCAAGTCCTTTTCCTCCTTAAGAGGCCGTTGCGGATGACAAAGTTGTCCTGCTGGACTTTTTGGTGTGATAATCCTTGCCTTCCCCAGTGACAGAAGCAACAGCAGACTCATGCATGTCAGTCAGTCGTGCCACATTTTCGGGCACCCTCCATGGCTGGCGAAAGGGGCAAAACCGCGCCCCGCCAAACTGAACCTCTGCAAAAGCAAGATTGGAATCCACATGAATCCACCAAGCCCGTTCCCGCCCAAAGCACCAAAAATCGAGCAACAATGAACTGCTGCATACAGCTGCAGGTCATCAAAGGGGAGCTTCGCTGTCAATGACCACTGGAAAGGTCCTCATTCGGAACAGCCACAGCGGAGCCGTGAACAACCATCGAGCACTTGAAAGTTCGCCCTCCCTTTCCAGTTGCGAAAGTTGTCTTCAGCAACGCTCCACTAAGCAAAATGCTGTCAGGCATGACCAACGTTCAAATCCGATGGAAAGGTCCAACAGAACGTAAATGAATGGAAGCCAGCGCCGAGTAAGTAGCAAAATGCTCGCAGCTGAATTCGATAATGAGGAACATGAGTATTTGAGTCCATGTTGTATTGATTGTTCTTATGACTCAAGATCAAATGTGCTTGTTGCGACCCCGGTTTCGAGCTCCAAGCATCTTTCTCTAGACTTCAAGAAATGAAGGAGGGATCTGGCATGGATCAATCTAGACATCTCACGAGGATCCATGGGTGGCCTCTCCAGCCAGCATCATTTCTGCAGCAAATTTGCTGATGTGACTTCATGCGCTTTGGTGCCCTGTGTTGATAACAATGCTTGCAAGTCTACTGATGAATGTAACAGATTCTGTTGATGCTCAGAAGGTGGCCCGGAGGCTATTTCTGACTACAAGAAGCTTTTGAAAATTGGGAGGGGGGTCGGCCACCCCGCCTCTAATGAAGTATGGGCTCATCTGTCAGTAACATGGACCCAACGGGTTTCGAGCATGGATTTGTAGGTAGGGGCGGGGGCTTGCACTGGCTCTTGAGATTCTTTACGTTGCGTCCATGTCCCTGAAACATGTAACCCCTGCCCCCCCCTCGCACGTTCTAATTCGCGCAGCCCCCTTCCCTAGTTTTGATCACCGACGAGCAATAGCCAAGCAAGTGCTGCTGGAAAGGCTGGGAGGCTCTGCAGAAAGACATGGCAATCAAGACGGAGACCTTAACCGAATCATTGCAGCAGCAGATGGATGAGCAGATGCACTTGGGACTGCAAGAGTGTCCACAGGCGCTGCCGCCTTCATGAGGCATATGGAGTCATTACCTTCTCAAGCTTGCAGCAGTCAGCTGGAAGGCACAAGATGCATGCATCGATTGGACAGAATGCCCAGCTGTTGAAGGAAGGCTTGGCTTCCAGCTCCTTGCCACAACAGCCAGCTCTGCTCCAGTTTGCGGTACACCGTTTTTGCTCAAACGCCTTTTTGCCAGTTTTTTGTGGGTTGTGTTGGATCTCTCAGCAATTCGGGGAAGATAGCTTGCCAGGGATTTTGCCTCACGGATTGAGTTATCAGAGTGGAAGACAGTTCCCAGAACAACGTTGTCTGAGATGTGAGAATGCAGTTTCGTGAAAAGTTTCAGATTGAGCCCGAGCTGAAGAAGCTGAGGCAAAAAAAGATTATCCTCGTTCAGCTGCAACAGCACGACTGCCTACCAGAAGGGTTTGCAGGCTGCTGTGGGCTGTTGATGCCTTGCAAGTGAAATGGTGCTGACAGACCACATGCCTTATCACTAATACCTCTGAGAGTTTTGAGCCTGGACCAGGAAGAGGAGGTCTTCTGAGCGGAGCGTGCGCTCCGCCCTGCTGGGCGCCCTACGAATCAAGCGTTACTCAGCCTGCCAAATGCACTTACCCACTACTATGTCTACTATGGAAGCATGTCACGGCAGAGACCGCCTGGAGCTAGGTGGCCGCAAGGCCGAGCAATTTTCCTCCACCCATACGTGTGGCTGTACAAAGCAATTGCTTGCTAGCGGGGTTCTGAGCCAAAAGAAAGAAGTGTTTGTGTTGCTTTTGTTCGTCTCTGAACTCAGCGGAGCACTGCCCTCTTGACGCTCGAAGAGCAGCTTGGAGTGGCTTGGTCTAGACTTCAGTTTCTCTACCGCTGCCCGAAGCTGGCAGCTGTGGCAGAGGATTGCAGAATAGTTCGCGTTGCAAAAAGGCCTACAGCCTGCATACTTAGCCTTGAGATGAAACTGGAGGTCGTTGGACTTGGCATCTCTGAATTCAGTTCGGAGGCTGGGAGAAGCGTCCTGCTAGACTGTTGGGGTCATGTAAAGCCCCAGGAGGTGCTGCCTTGAGATTACTCCTGACTTCTACACGCACGTTCGGACTGACTTCTCTTGAGTCGGAAGCGCTGCAATGTTGTTCAGGCATTGGCGGGCTTGTGTGAGGAGTAGCATTGGATCAATGGCCATTATGCCTTGGATCGCGCATCGGCCTTTTGCCATCCATTGCCAGGGCCGTGCAAGAGCTCCAAGACTGGAAGATGAAGGCTCTCCGCGGGCCTCCTGCATCCTTTTGAACTTCTTGGAACTGGAGCGCCGCTGGGAGAAGCGTCTCAATCAGCACCAGCCAGCAGAAGATCAGGAAGGATCACAAGTGAATACCCTGAGCGGCCGTCAAGCATAGTACTCGGCATTTTTTGCTTTTAAGCAACGTAAGGTAAGCAAGGACAAGCTGTAGCTGTGCAGCCATGGCGCTACGCGACACATCATTTGCGATGTTTGCCTCTGCTTACGGCTTGTATCTGTCCCCTGGCTGCACAGCAATGTATCCATCCCGCACCGCGTCCCGCACTTGCTGTGTTTGTCAAACCTGCAGCGTGCAGTTTGCCGTTCGTCTTCTTGCTAATGTCTTCAAGGCATTTGCCAGGCTCCAACTCGGGTTGGATGCACTTGGCCTTCTTGATTAGTGCGCAAAGAGCCGACACATTCCCTGCCAACCTTTGTGGCTGGCTGCTCGAGGTGCCGTACTGCTTCCTTGGCACCCGCTGCGTAGCTCCATCTTCGGCGCTTTGGTCTTCGAGACCTGGCTGGGCGCCACATTCAACTATGTCGTTGTATCTCTTGAAGAACTGCAGCTCCTTCCCTTCTACCCAACTGTATTCCTTCAAATGACTGGTCCCCAAGCCTGCAACCTCTTTGTACCACCTTGTTCCTTGGTGGGGAATTTCTTTTAACTCTGTTCTTCGCCTGCAGCGGTCTGTGACTGGGTTGGGTTGGACCGTCAAGCATACTTGCGGCACAAACCGCGTTCTGACCAGTTAGCAGCGAGGGCTCTGATGCATCTGCTCAGTTTGTTAATTTGTTTTCTTGGCACGCGTAGGCTTGCGATGCTCTATGTCATCCTGCGGATGGCGGGGCTGGTTCAGAAGTCCAGCGTCACATCACATGCTGCAGCGGCTGAAATGCTAACTTACGCGCTTTTCAAGAGTACGTACAAGCAGGAGTCTTGACCGCAGACGATGCTTTGCCAGGCAGTGTCAAAGTTACACTGGAAGTTGAAGACGAAACCGCTTTGGCAGCACAAGGACCCTTTGTAATTTTTCCTGCGCAATGCCGCCTCGACCACTTGGGTGCCAGCACGGATCTGCTGATGAATTAGCGGCTGATTTTTTCCTGCTTGAAGTGTTTAACTGAAAGAGAGGCTCCCACTCGAAAGAGGCAAAGCTTGCTAAGGTCGGCTTCCAATGAGCAGTAGGTTTGGAGTATTTCGCTACGAGGCCTTCTCATCAGAATGCTTAGCGAACTGGGCAAAGACAAGCCATTGATGAAAATAGAGTCAAACTTAACCTTTGGTCCCACTCTGGCTGGCCAAGCCAAAGTATTTCAAGTGACGGATTCGATTCATACTGATCACGGGTATATCATTTGAGAGTGCCAACTTCAAGAGGGCAGCTTTGAACCGGCTAACCATTCTGTTGATGGATCTGGATGCAGGCCATGGTGGGCCATACAATCCAACAACAGTTGTAGCCACGTAGTGGTGTGCTCAGAACCCTCTGGAGCCAGGCCCCAACGCGCTGATTGAAGATAATCCCGGATTGCATCAGCAGCAAAGTGGGGTATGGATCCTGGCCCTGGTAAAGACCCTCTGTAATCATGCAATCTGCTCAATGTCTCAACTAGACTAGGTCGGCCTATGTAATGCTTGGGGCCTAGGTACTCTTGGTGAACCTACGTCTGTCCGCCTTGACGTAATGTTCGCTGCACAAGCTAAAGTCTTTTGTGCGAAGATTCTTGATTTCTAACTGTGTTACTTTTTTTTTACGGCCAGGACGACTTGCTGCGGATGGCATACCTGAACGCAACTTGGCCAAGTCCCTGGTTCATCGGCCGCACTGGCGGAAATTGCATATTCCTGCATGGAGAAAAGTTGCCAATGACATCCTATTGAAGCAGCAGCCGCGATAGATTGTGATTTGGTGAAGCTGCCTTAGCTCGAGAGTTGTGCCGAGGGACTCATAGGTGCAAGCATTCAGGTTGGCCTTTTCTTCCTGGCTCGTGTACATGGCCGCCTCTGGTTGCCCCAACCTGGAGGTGACTTTGGCAACAATGTGCTTACAGACCTTTTGTATCCTCGAAGACTTTTAGATTTGAGACCAGCCTTTCTGGGTGGCTGTCGACCGTCCGGCACGACATTGCTGGGACATCCAGTGATCCTGCAGCATAGTTTTCCGTTCTTGTTCGCATTGAATGGCCTAACTTCCTGTGCTGAAGGCATGCGAGAAACCGTTCACTGGGGCTTCCTGATCCTTGTCGCCCATTTCACCTTCTTCTACACTGTGGCCTGGCGGCAGCCACAGTCATGGGCAATGTATTGGGATTCTCAGAAGGCTCAGGAATGAGCTGAGGTGCTGTTTGAAATGGCTGCTTGGCTGCAGTACGTGTGCACCGTTAGACAACCTTTAGCTTTGCTTTCCTTTGAACCAAAAGCAAGACACTTGAGTGCACCTTATTCTTGCTTTGCACCTTAGGTACGGCATGTCAACTTGCAACATGGATCCGCACCTCAATGTTTTCCATTCCAGATCAGAGTACAATTCCTGCTGACGACGTATGTGCCCTCACGCCCCGATGCATGGAGCAAACTCGGATGGCCAGAAGTCATGGACCGTCGCAGCTGAGGCACATCTCCGGAGACGTTTTCC